CCCTGAGTTTAATCAGGAGGAAGCACCAGACGGACCCCAGATGAAGAATGGGTTTTAACAACAAAAGACAGCAGCGGCGGAATGTTCTAGATTAAAGGGCACAGGCTCACTAAGATGTAGTCTGGATCCTGAACTGGATCCTCTCATGGAGGGAAGGGGAGCTGAACTCTACTGGGTTGTCCAGAAACTTCAGGTTTTTCCTTAAGATGTTACAAAAAAATCAAAGTGAACTTTTTGGCCAACCCAATAATGAAGAACTTTCATATCTTAAGGAAGAGTCACTCACTGAAGTATTAGGGTTAAAGGGCCAAGATTCTGAAACAAATGTCCTGCAATTTACCACATATTATATATAAACTTACAGAGTGAGAGTGTGTGTGCAGACACACACATGTGATAAAAAGGGTAGTGTGTTAACAGTGGGTGAATGTAGGAAAAGAGTGTGTGGCTATTCTTTGTACTTGAACAATTCTAGTAACTTTTGAGATTGAAATTATTCCAGATAAAATGTTTTAAGAAATGAGATGGCACATAAGTCCATGAAAGATGCTCAGCATTGTTAGTTGTTAAGGAAATGCCAATTAAAACCACGGTGACATGTCACTACATATATATTTGCCTGGGTCCTGAAAAGAATCGACAGTAGCTGGTGCTGGCAAGAGTGTGGAGCCCCTGGAGCTCCCCTGCAGAGAGGAGGGCCGTAAAGTTACACATACACTTACACTACAGATGGGAAGGCCATAAAGATACACATACACTTACCGTAGGACCCAGCAGCCCCACTGCTGGGTGTCTACGAAGGGAAAGGGAGATGCACGTTCACACACAGCCCTGCAGGCAGCCTGGTAGGTGACTGCCGAACTCTGGAAATGCCCACCTGGCCACCCACAAGTGTGTCAGCCTACCGTGTCAAGGGGTTACCCCTCCATGCGTGTGTAGCGTGGCTGAACGCCAGACCACTATGCTAAGAGAAGAGCAGCCCAAGACACAGACCTACAAGAGGGCAAAGCAAGTGTCGGGCTGAGGGGATCACCAACCAAGGGGACCAGGAACTCTAGGGTGTGGCTTGATAGTGGTGGCTACGTGGCTGCATTTTTCAAAACTCATAGGACAGATGTACTCTCACAAGTGAGTTTTACTATGTGCCAGCTTACGCCTCTGCAAACCCAATTAAAAAAATATAACAGTGTTAAAAAATCAAAACAAATGTTAAACCATCAGACTACTTTATCAAAGATATTATTTTTAGACCTGAATCCTTGAGCCCCATTCCAAGAATATTTTCCCCGAGTCCTCTGGATGCTACATTTCGTATTGCTCAACCTGGAAAAAGAATAAAGTTCTGACCCACTAGCGCAGGAATGTGATGACATCGCATTGAGTGAAAGAAGCCAGGCATGGAACACATAGCCTTTGGGTCCGTTTCTGGGAAGTGTCCAGAAAAGGCAAATAAATGATTTGTTGCCAGGGCTGGGGGAGGGCAAGCCTTTGGGCAGAGTGGGGAGTGACTGCTCATGGGTACAGGTTCTCTTTTTGTGATGACGAGAATGTTCTGGAGCTAGACAGCCTCTTTGAATGTGCTGAGTGCATTGAATTGCTCACCTGAAAATGGCTAATTGTACGTTGATGTGACTTTCACCTTAAAGGTGGTGCTCGGCTCATCTTACTGCCTGTTGGGTGTGCAGAGTGCCCATGTAGACGTGTTGTGTGGAGGCAGGAGGCACAGGTAGTGAGGCCCCTCAAGCTCCCTGTCAGGATCAGTCTTGTGGTGCCCCCGAGCCGTGTTAGGCCCGGGTGTGCGTGGACCTGACTGAGACACCCCAGCTGTGGTTTGTGTGAGAAGGAGCAGCAGCAGAGCACCGGGGTGGGGTGCAGGCTGCCCCCCCACAGTGCCATTGAGGGCTGTTGGCCCGAGCGTGGCTCTGCTCTGCCTGTGGCATTGGGCGATCCAGGTGAGGTGCTAACTTCCAGGTAGAGGTAGCAGTATGTATTTTATAGGGCTTGCATTAATACTAATGATGCATGTTAAAAAAGATCTCAGCAGTGATAATGAGATCACTGCTGAGATCAGTGATCACTAACAAAGACATGAATAAAATAAATCTGAAGGGTTTGTTCTCTTTGGAGATTTATATTCTGTAAGTGGAGTTGTCTTTCAGTATCCTCAGGGGGTTGATTGCAGGACTGCCTGAGGATACCCACATCCAAGGATGCTCTCGTCTCTTAGATAGATGGTATTGTGTCTGCACATAACCTACACACATCCTCTCTTATACTTCATGGCATGTACCTAATACAGTGCAAATGCTCTGTAAACAGTTGTTGCTGAAGGAGACAAGTTCAAGTCTTGCTTTTGGGAACTTTCTGGAAATTTCTTTCCCAAATATTTGTGATCTGAAGTTGGTTGAGTGAGTGGATAGAGGGCTGACTGTTCCTCAGAAGCTCTCCTGGATCTTGCGTCCCTGCGTGTGGTGCGCCTCACCTCAGCTGGTCTGCCCGAGACCACCTGAGCGCCAACCCTAGTCCCCCGCACGGCCCCATTTCTGCTCCAACAAGATGAAAGAAACTATCATGAACCAGTAGAAACTCGCCAAACTGCAGGCACAAGTGCGCATTGGTGGGAAAGGAACTGCTCGCAGAAAGAAGAAGGTGATTCATAGAACAGCCACAGCAGATGACAAAAAACTTCAGTTCTCTTTAAAGAAGTTAGGGGTAAACAATATCTCTGGTATTGAAGAGGTGAATATGTTCACAAATCAAGGAACAGTGATCCACTTTAACAACCCTAAAGTTTAGGCATCTCTGGCAGCAAACACTTTCACCATTACAGGCCACGCTGAGACAAAGTAACTGACAGAAATGCTCCCCAGCATCTTAAACCAGCTTGGTGCGGACAGCCTGACCAGCGTAAGGAGACTGGCTGAAGCTCTGCCCAAACAGTCCGTGGGTGGAAAAGCACCGCTTGCCACTGGAGAGGAGGAGGAGGAGGAAGTTCCAGATCTTGTGGAGAATGCTGACGAGGCTCCCAAGAACGAAGCACACGGAACTGAGTTAACTTCTGAAGAAGATGAATCTTGAGGAAGTTACTGGGAGCTGCTATTTTATATTATGACTGCTTTTTAAAATTTTGTTTATGGATCTGATAAAATCTAGATCTCTAATATTTTTAAGCCTAAGCCCCTGGACACTGCAGCTCTTTTCAGTTTTTGCTTATATACAATTCATTCTTTGCAGCTAATGAAGCTGAAGAAGCCTAAGAATAAAGTTTGAGACAAAGATAAATAAAGTTCTTTGCCTAGTATATGGTTTTATTTTTTATTTCATTGATACCAATTTGTAAACAGAAGGCAAAATTGTTTATAGAAAGCTAATCATGGCATGTAATATGACTGATAATGATGAATGGAATCTGATTAAAGATTTAAAATGACAGTATAAAAAAAAAAAAAAGAAGAAGCTCTCCTGGAATAGTATGGAGAGAGTGGATTTCCCCCTCAGAAGCCTTTCACTGCACTGGCCCAGAGATCTGCAGTCCCATGAAGACGGGGCTCAGAACTTGGCACTAGGGTCTTAGAGGGCCAGGTCAGGTCCACACATGCAAGCAGGAGAGTAAGTCGGCAAAAAGCTGCCTGAGCAGCTGGGCAGAGCATCTGGACACAGAGAGTCTGGCTGCAAACCGTGGTGTTGGCAGGGTAGAGGTCATTCATCTGATCAGAAGGGCAGGACCCCTGCCACCTCACCCCTGCCATCTGCACGGCCATGTCCACCCATGATGGTCAGAAGTGGGGCAGCCTTGTGTACTGGGCTGAGATACTGACGTTGATGCCGTGCTCGCGGTTTCCTGGAGCTGTCTCCACTATGTGACCCGCCCTGTCAGCGCGCACACCTCAGCCACTCTCAGCGCCTGGGGCTGAGCTCTGCTGGACCTGGGCTCCGCAGGGGCTCTTGGTGCACCGGGGCATAGGGCTGGAGCTGGCAGCACTGCCCCCCGCGGCCCATGCACCATGGGGCACACTGACTTACGACCTGTGAGCACGCAGCATCTTCACAGATGTCACTTGTCAGGATTGCCCACGAGCCAGTCACACTGTCCTCATGGTGCTCCTCTGAGTAAGAGCTGCTCTTGCTGTGGGCTCATCATCTCTATCACCCCTGTACCCCTATGGGCGTGACTGGGGGTTCCATCCTGTCTGAGGGTGGACAGTGTGAGGTAGGGTCGCAGCTCACCTGTCAATTCTTGGTCAGCTGGTAGAGAGTTTCCCCAAGAACCCAGCCGCTGGGTGTAGGAAGGGGTGTGGCCTGGGCCCTCCCTGTGTGGTCCCTGGGATGCGTGTACTTGGCCTCACCTTCAGGCCAAGTCCTGCTATTCCGCATTTTGTCTCAGTTCTCATGCCCCCCCCGCCCCCGACTCTTCTGTCGCCTCCCTGGGCTACACCATGAGGCTGGGCAGGAAGTGAGTCACATGTAGTGGTCGCCCTGGCCAGGCCAGGGAGGACAGTGGGACAGAGAAGCCTGGGCGTCTGGTTGTGGGGGAGTCTGTCAGGCTGAATGCTTGGTCCCTTGTGTTCCAAGTCTCCCCAGCAGGCAGGAGACTGGCTGCTGTACTTGGAAGCAGGAAAGATCATTGGGCAGGTGGTGAGCTAATGGGGGCTCAACAGGTGGATGTTGAAAGAAGCTCCTGTTTGGGCTCAAGCTTCCCTTGGCAGCTCGGGAGGCTGTGACAGGTGCCAGTTACCATGGGTGGTGCAGCTCAGAGCAGCTGGAAACATCCCCTCTGATGAGCAGGCTGGGTTTCTGGTGACTAAGCAGGTGGGGTTGCTGAGCAGGTGGGGTTGCTGATGCCTGTGGCGGGTCACTTTTTCTGAGAGGACCTGGGGACAAGGACCATAGGCCCCACTCAGTCCTAGTTCTGGAGAGTGGAATCCCCAGTGTCCCCACATTCCCTGGGTCCCCAGTGCCGCCTCCCCAGCCCTGACCCTGTCTCTGCCCTCGTGTGCCAGGTGAGCCTGAACAAGGTGGGCGAGTATTGGTGGAGTGCCATCCTGGAGGGCGAGGAGCAGATTGACATCGACAAGATCAACAAGGAGCGCTCCATGGCCACGGTGGACGAGGAGGAGCACGCCGTTCTGGACAGGCTCACCTTCGACTATCACCAGAAGCTGCAGGGCAAGCCGCAGAGCCATGAGCTGGTACGGGCACGCACCCTTCCTGGGGCTTGAGCTGGGGTGGACGGGGCATGCTGCTGTCTGTGCAGCTGCCTCCTGGGTCCCGACATGGCAGCCCGGGCCTGGTCACCGCCTGGGATGGGGCTCTGGTTCCGTGCCTGGACCAAGAGCCCAGGTGGCAGGGCTGAGAGGTGCCTGTCCAGAGGGTCCTGGTAATGCCAGCTCAAACCTAGGGCTGTCCCTCCCTTCAGCCCCTCCAAGACCCTCAGTACAGGAGGAACAGCCTGGCACCACCCTGCCTCAGGTCCAGTGCAGGTTTGATCACAAAGGACCAGTGGGAAGAAAATTCTTCCAAGTCACTTTCGAAGTCAGAGGCCTGAGAAGTGTGGCTGGCCAGCAGCCACAGAAGCCAGGAGGACATCAGTGACTGGAGAGGAGACTCGTCCGGAGCCTGTGGTGGCAGAGATGAGGATTAGACATGTGCTGTCTTTCTCCTGTTTGATACTCCCAAGAGTGGCTGTTTAGAGAAGAGAGTTCCAGTCTCAGTGTCCCAAGTAAACCGCATGGGGATTTGAGAGGGGGCTTGAGGTGTAGAGGTCACAGCACATGTTCAAGGTCCCGTAGCTGGTCTGGCAGCAGGGTGGGGTTTGAACTGGTGTCAGGCTTGTCTGTCATCCCTCCCTGAGTCTCTGAATCGTCTCTTGATCTGGTTTGCCAACCTTCCCTGGGCTTATGCGGCTGGAGGCCAGGACTGTGGTTGACCATTGGCTCCCAGGCACCTGGTGGTCTCATCTGTGGATAGTGGTCTCAGGCCGTAAGCCGCCAGCTGGCCTAACACAGGACGTGGAGTGCAGCCACCTCTGCACGTTTAGATGGCGGTTTTATCCAGTTAATGCTGCATTTGCCTGCAGCCACCAGATGAAAGAGCAGTCTGAACACCAGCCTGATTGGAGAGGGCCCTGGGCAACTGTTTAAGGTTTGGGTGTCTGGCCCCAGAGTTGGCAGGCATTTAGCCATGAGGTCTAAATAAGAAGCAAGAGGTCCCTGCTGATGAGCTCAGGGCTGGGATCCACCGATCCAAGAAGCATCTGAAGAGGAAACCAGAAGACACTGGTCTGATGGAAGGACTTCCGTGGTTTGAGTCGGAAGTGGTTCTGGCAGGACTTGCCATGGGCCCAGCAGTGCTGACCATGATGGCATGAGTGCCTGGCAGAGTGCAGTGCCCTGTGGAGACCTTCAGTAGACACATGGGAGCCCTTGGATGGTGGGGCAGGTGGTGGGACTCAGTGGTGACCCCTTGTCCAGCTGACCTGCTCCTGCACAGCCCGGCGCCTCAGGGCCGTGTTAGGAGAGGCAGGGGCACCAGCACTGCTGTCTGGAACTCCTCTGGGCTCAGCAGGGATTGGGAACGAATGTCTGCACACGGGGCCTGGCCTCCTAGGCTTCCTCCTGGACTGTCTTTGGCACACGGGGCCTTGAGGGATGCGCAGTGTGGGGAGCCGGTTTGGAACCGAGAGAAAAGCGTGGAGGCATGAGGAGCCGGCAAAGCTTGCATGGCCTAGTGGTGAGGCAGCTGGCCTCTGCGGTGTCGAAGCCCTTCACAGTCACCGTGGTCCCCGGAGGAAAGTGTCCCAAGGAGAGGAGAGTCAGCACAGCTGCAGGTGCCTGGATAAGGGTGGTGGGAGGAGAGGCGGCTTAAGAAAGTAGGAGGTGAGGGGCCTGGGGCAGCACCAGCGTGGGGAGCGGGCTGAGGTCCCTGGGGCTGGAGCAAGAGGGCTCGTCAGACTGCCCATGACGAGGCTGGGGCACAGGGCATCGCTGTGGGTCGAGCTCAGAGGGTGTGTCTCAAGTCGGAGCTCACTGGAGAGGGTTTGTCTCAGGATGCTCAGAAGAGGGGCATGGAGTGAGACTGAGAAAGAGGAGGCTCAGAGGGGGCGGTGGGCACGCGCTGGAGGAGGCAGGACGGGCTGCAGATCACCCTGTGACTGCTGGCACCCGGAGTCACGCGGGTGGCCGGGGCCTGGGCCTCTCTGGTCCCTTCTCGTGGCGGCCTGCGGGCAGCAGCGCTGGCGGTGCCAGGTGCTCTTTCTAAGGTCCTTGGTGTGTGTCAGGGGGACCAAGTCGAGAGTATTACATACTGCTTGTCTTTGACATGTTTGCTGCTGCACCACTTAGGTGTAATAACAGAGCAGGAGCCCTGCAGTCTTGTCAGACACCAGGAGTTTTCCCCTCAGCTCAGTCTGTCGGCCTAGAGGTTAAGAGGTGGGTAGGGCTTTCTGGCCCTGTGGCCGTGAGTCTCTTCATTCTCCTGGTCAGAAGGAAGGGGGAGAGGGTTTCCAGCCCAGTGTGTTTGCAGGGAGGACATGGAGGGCAGATGTGGGGACCTGGGGGGACAGGGGGCCTCCCTCACGGCTGCAGCCTCCTGCTGCCGCCCCCGAAGGCTGGTGGCCAGACTGGGATGATTGAGCCCACCTTTGATAACAGCTTTGGCCCCTGCTCCCAGTGGCTGTGGGATTGGTGATTGGTGCGTGCAGAGTCAGACATCCTGAGGTCTCTCCCTTTGAGTCACAACCTAGGTCATTCCCAGACTATCTGAGAGCACAGGCCTGGAGACCACCACCCTTGTGCCTTGTCTCTTGAAAGGAGAGTAGAGACCCTTTCTTTACAGCTCAGTCAGCTTTGTGGGCTGTGGCCCTCGGGTCATTTGGAGCTTGGACAGATACTCCTGGTGAGCAGGGACAGCATCCAAACCAGGAAGATGGCCAGTGTTGCTCTGGGGACAGGATGGGGGGCAACCCGGATGTGGGGAGCACAGGCTTGTGGAGGGTCTGCTGTCACCCCAGGCAGGTCCTCTTCCGGAGGAAGTAGAGCAGAGTTCTGCTCTGGGACGTGCAGGCCTGGTGACTACAGTTAACCTCTCTATTTTCTGTTTGTAGAAAGTCCATGAGATGCTGAAGAAGGGGTGGGATGCTGAAGGCTCTCCCTTCCGAGGCCAGCGATTCGACCCGGCCATGTTCAACATCTCCCCAGGGGCTGTGCAGTTTTAATGACCGGAGGAGAGGACACCCTCGCCGGCAGGGGAGCGGGGCCTCAGCCATGCCCCTCAGCTCCCTCCTGCCGGGGACTCGCTGTCTAGTCACCTTTGCCATCCTTTCTTTCAAGGGTGAACCCGGCCTCCACCCTGGCCCTGCGTCTCCAGACTGTTTCAGAGCAGGGCGGGGTTGTGCGGCCCGTGCTGAGGGGGTGTGGGGGAGCAGGGGCTGTCTCAGCAGGTGCCGCTCTGGGCCCTGCTGGCGCCACTCGCCTCTCCCTCCCTCCCTGCCTCCACTTGCTGCTCTGCTCGTCTGCTCTCTGCTTGCTGTTCTCGCGTGGGGCAGGCATGGGTGCCCCTCGGCTGTGGAAGCGCAGGCAGGGATGTGCAGACTGAGGGCTGGGCTCGGGGCCAGTTCGGGGAAACTGCCGCCTTGCCCTCTTGCTGGGTGTGTTCTTGTGTAGTTTTGCCCGTCTGCTTGTACGTGTCCACTGCCTTCCTCAGCCTTGTCAAGGAGCCACAGAAACCAGGGTGCTGGTCTCTGGTTCTGGATGCTGGAAGAGTTTTTGGTGGCCTCAGGCACGGCACCGCAGGATCTCTGTCCTCTGAGTGGCCTGTTCTGCTGCCACCCGGCCTAGCACTTTCCCCTTGGGGAACTGGTTCTTGTCAGAGTGAGCTGGGCCAGGCCCCCGCAGGAGGCCCCATGTGTGTCCCTGCTCGCTGCAGCCCCCGGTCCTTTCTTGGCTGAAGCCCGGCTGTGCCGCCCAGAGCTTGGGGCCCTGCTCCTGCGGCTTTCCCAGGACCTAGAGCCCGTGCCCTTCGCCAGGACCGCACGGCTGCACCCTGGAACCTGCCCTCGAGCTCTGTATGCTGGACTGGGGGAGGAAGAGCCCTGGGGGTGGGGGCGTTCCTTCTAGAAACTTCCCCCTTCAGCTGCGTGGGTGGGAGCTGATGCATTGCCATGTGTGGGGGCAGGTTTCTGGCTCACAAGGCCCTGTAGACACATCCCTGGGAAGCAGTTGCTTGCTCTGATGCCGTCACGGGAGCTGTGTTCACCTGGTGACTGGTGGGAGCACCACCAAGGGGGCACGGAGCCCTGTTGTTGGCTGTCATCACTGAGGCTGGTCATGGAGTTCCTGAGGCCCCCCTTCAGCACCCTCCGGATCTCACTTGCCCCACGTACTGAGAGGTCTCACCTGTCTGTGTGAGAACCGTTCTGGCACCATTGCCTGGCACCATGCCTCTGTCCCCTCCCCTCCGCCACCCCCAGGGGGTCCTCTCCCGTCCCCAGGTGGGGTCTGAGGCCTGCACCTTGGCTGTTTGGGAGCTGTGGACTCCACGGTCAGTTGTCTTCCTCTTGCCTAATTTTATTTTCAAGTGTTTGCGTTTCTCCCCACCCCCCTGGGGGTAACAGCAGCTTGCCGGCATCTGGGAGTGGTGGACTAGGGGGCTTGCCATCCTGTGAGCAGCCTGCGCCCCTCGCTGCTGGCCTGGGCCCTGGAGTCTGTGCACTCTGCCTGTTTTCTCTCTTCAGACACGGCAGGAGCAGTTTGGCCACTGAGCTCCATCAACTGAGGTCCAAGGAAAATGGGGTGCCCGCCTGCGAAATCACCCTGTCTCCGGTGTTGGTTTGCAATAAATCTATTTAAGCATTTCTGGGTCTGTGTGTGATATTTTCTGCCAAGACGATTTTCACTATGTGGTCATTACCCGAATTCTAGCCATCAGGCCCATGTATACAGCAAACACCAAAATGGGAATTCCTAAATAGCTCCCAAAGCTGTTTCTTATCCAGCCTGCATCCTGGCAAGACTTCACACAGCTTTCAGAAACATAATAAGCTTTCGATCAGGAAAAAAGATTGTAGCTCTAGAGCTCACATCCGTTTCCAAGCAGAATTCAAAAGACTTCAGCCAGAGGGTCCTTAGTGCCCCCTTTACCTGCAGTGGCCCCAGAATGCTGGGCTCATGCTTGTGCCTGCGCCCCTCCGGGCACACCAGGCTTGTGGCACGTCCTGTGCCTCAGTCACATCGCAGGCTCTCCAGTGTGGCCTTCCTCCCCCGCCCCCATTCCAGGGGCCTTGCTCAATGGGCAGAACCTGGTGGGTGTTTCTTGAATGAATGAAGTATGTAGACAGTCCAACAGTGAAATTACCAAGCAAACTCCCAGGGCAGAAATAATCTGCCAGGAAGGACAGCACCATCTTCAACAGTTTGCCTCCAAAGTGTGCAGGAGGGAGAAGTCGGGAGCATTTTGTGTGCAAATGTGTCCAGGAGGTGGCAGCTGCTTTACAGAGACCTGACCACTCCGAGTACAGTCTGAGGAACAGACTCAAACCCACCTCAGATCTGCTCCCCAGGCGGCCAGCTGGCAGGAGTCTCAACCCAGGGTGGACAAGTTGTTTCCGTGAATAAAGAGTGGAGTGTGGGAATGGAAGCAGACCTCGGTAAGCACTCTCTGTCTGTTGGACAGAGCTCAGGCTCCAGAGCAGAGCTCCTGCCCCAGACATTGGTGCACGCATGGGACTGGTCCTCCGTGGCCTGGGAATCAGGTTGTCCAAGCCTGGCTGCTCCCAGGCACACCTGTCCTGGACATGAGGTTGGTGCACTGTCGCTCGGCTCGCTGATGCCACCTGGACATGGTTAGGGATCCCAAGGCCTCTCCTTCAGGTCCCTATCACAACTTCAGGAGTGAGGACAAGAATAATCTGTGATTTCAGGCTCAGCTCACCCCTCACCTTGTCCACACGAGCTTGGTTTTATCTGCTCTATCTACATCCTTGGTTTTATTCTTCATAACTCAAGGTTGGGTCACCAGCCTGCTTTCAAAGGGAAGAAAGCATCAGATGCCAGGTGGGGCCTTAGATCTCTGCCCCTGGAGCCTTGAGCTGGATGCCACTCCCTGCTCTCCCAGCCCTGTTCTGCAGAATCTGGCATCTGCTGCCATTGGCGTGGAGAGGGCTAGAATCACACCCTCCAGCCCCTGCTGGGAGAGTCTGGCTATTATGACTCAGACTTGGTGCTGAGAGGGGTCAACCTGGTGAAGCAGGGTGACACCACCTGTTCACAGGGCACCCATGGGCCTGTGGTTGCCATCCTCCCGCAGAGCAGGCCCAGGCCTGTCCTTTCTGGAGGAGGCCTTTGCAAGAGAGGTGTCTGGACCTGAGGGTGAGTCAGGGCTTCTCCAGGGAGTTCAGGCCAAACATTCCATCACCTCTGTCCTGGTTCCTCTTGGGAGGGATCCTAGGCTTTTGGCCAGCACTGGCTAGGGCGTTGGAGACATTTTGGCTCAAACTCCCCGTGTACAATGGCCACAGGGAAAGTGTCACCACTGAGGCATGAGCTTGGCCCCACTCGTACCCCCATTCCCAGTGGAACCCCCTGCCTCTGCTCTTGCATTGCCCCAGAGATGGTCTGGCTCTGCATATAGATGTTGATGTTGAAGGGGGGCAAAGCACCGCCCAGCACCATTCACCCACTGAAACCCTGACAGCCCAGACACTCCGAGAGAGGCCCCAGAGGGCACTTCAGAGGCCACAGCGGAGCCTCTGGGGGGTGGGTGGTTGGCAGAGGTCCCTCCTGCAGGGATGGCGAGCCTGCTGCTTGAGGGACAGGGTCATTGGGAAGCTGCTCAGGTTATGACCTTGCAGGGACCAGGGTCAGGAACATCGTGTTAGGGTTAGAGTGTCCCCTGGTGGGCCCGGACTGCAGAGGTGTGGCATGGGGAGTCGGCAGCCCCCAAAGAGGGTGTGTCTGGCCTAGAGTGCCCACAGAGGGTTTGGGGTTAACAGGCCAGGGAGGGGCTGCAGAGCGGGCCCTCAGGTGGGGCAGGTGCCAGCATTCTCAGTGACCACCCATCAGGGCCGGGCTGGTGCAGGGGCCCCAGGGTGGGAGACCACAGTCCAAGGTGCAAGGTGCCAGCAGAGGGCAGCGGACAGCAAAGGGAAGCGGAGGCAGGGCAGGAAGGAGGGGAGAGGAGGGCACTGCTGAGCCCCACACAGGCTGTGTTCGTAAACAGCCCCATCCGTGGAGCACAGAGCATCCACAGGAGCCACCCTGAGTGTGTGGGATTTGCGCCAGCTCCTTCGGGGGTGTCAGCACACACATCAGTGGTTCATTCCAGCATCAGTACCAGCAGCTGGGAGGACTGAAGGTGTGACCTACAGGGCCAGAAACTAGGTGGGAATCCAGATGCTTCCCAGAGTCTGAGCAGTGCTGTCCACCCACCCTGGCGGAGCACCCTGGATCCAACCATTGGGTTAGCAGTGTGTCTGGGGCCCACTGACAATGTGCTGGCTCTCGCCTGCCTTCAGGAGAGGGCTGGCAGTGCTTGCTAGAGAGGGAGGTTGTGTTTTTGTGCTCCAGATTCCTTCTACCTCATTTCAAGACACTCAGGTCCAAGAGGGAGGAAGGAAGGAAAAAGGGAGAGCAAGTAGCAGGCAGCTGGGGAGTTTGTGCCCCCTCCCAGTTTCTGGACCACTTTCCTGTCAAGAGGTTGGATATGGGGTTCCTTGGGATACCGTCGGAGGCCTCCTCTGGTGGAGAGGGTAGCAGGGCTCACCCCTCCCCATGGGAACTCTGATCCCACTGGCCTGTTCCACCTGCTGCGACACCTCCCCTGGGGTTCCTGCCCAACCCAACTACGCCAGGGGCTACAGTGCACCCCTGCTCTGTCTGAGTGCCTCATCCCAGTGACAGGAGAGGGCTCGTGTGTTCAAATCCTTGGTTAGGGGGAAGCAGGTGGTGTTTCTGGAACATTCTATTGCATTCCGTTGGACTGGACACCATCGGGACATCCTGGGACTCCATAGATCAGCTTCTCCCAGTGACAGTCACAAGAGCACATCCCGTGTTTATGGTAAGTAACAAGCGACAAGTTCTCTGGGACCCCCAACTCCCTGGGTTAGTGGCTCACATGAAGCCCAGAAATCTGGGGCAGGCCAGGGTGTGGGCAGGCGCCCCCCACACACACCTAGGCCTGGGGCCAGGGGTGTGGCAATGAGGGCCCAACAAGTCC